GACCCTGAGAGTGCGCTGTATATGTAGACGTGTATACATATGTATACATGTATATGTTGCATACGGATTTGTTTGTAGTCCCAACACCTAAATAAAGTCACAAACCTAAGCAAACTTCGAGTTGTCTGGTACTTGCAAGTCTTGCAAGGCCTTCACCTCCCGGCCATCTACATCGGCCGAATGGAACGTAGCCAATAACAAACCCCAAATTCCACAATCGAAAGCTGAGACTAAGCCCGATCCAAACCCCGGAATGTGAGCACCCGTAGTGAAACGCCAAGAACAGAAATTGTAAAGGACTAGTGCTTATTCGGCTAGCTGCTCCCACATCTGGCACTTGGAACCACACGCAAACCCTAACTAACATCCCAGTGCGAAGGGGACTCACCGTCCGCAAGAATGTGTCCGCAAGATCCAAAAACGGCAGCTCCTCTCGCAGCTTTGCAGGGCCGAGGTCGGCTTCGGATTCAGAAGCTCCTTTTTACCCATAGGCCCCTAAGTAGTTCCTTTTTGGGATTACCTTATAGGATTCTCAATATACACCATAAACAAGGAACTACTTAGGGGCCTATGGTTACTCTAAACGGATGCAAATGAAGGAGCACTTGTGGGTCTTGTCAGCTGGGGGCTGCGGTCTTCGATATATTTTGGGGGGCAGCTGAATCAGAACCGGGTTTTGCAGCATGGGGCATCTTATTACCGTGGTTATGTAAGTTATGTATAGGGACTCCAACTGGTCTCTGCTCAGACGCCCCATATTCTATGAATTATACTCTATTGTACCCTCGAATCGCAAGCGCGGAGCATGCCAGAGCTTTGGGCAGGGTCGGGTACAGTAAGCGCGGAGCCTGAGCGAATGAAGGGGTTAAAGCGGTTGATGGGTCGGCGCACAAACCCGTGAAATCTTACAACATCTGCTAGCCAAAACAGAAACAACCACACACACACACAGACACAGACACCACGACAATCACCACGCCTTTTGTCAGAACCCATCAGAACCCGATGACACAGAGCAAATCCAAGATCACTTTCACTAAACCTTAGACCCTAAAAACCCCTAAAGCCTTTCCCCTATTTCCACCACCGCTGCCGTGTGTAGCTGTTGATGCTTTCCTGAGCTTCCTGGCCTCCACATCAGAGGTCTAGCATGTTCTGGGATGCCTCGGCTGGACATCGGTCTTTGGCTCAGTGGCGTTTCAAAACTCTGGGGTCTCTCTCTTGCTCTCTTGACTATTGGCTTCTCTCTCCCTCCGTACATACCTCCCTCCCGCGAGGCAAATTGAAAAGTGAACCGACCCAGCCTAAATACTTGAATCCTGGACCCTGAACTATGAACAATATAATCTGCCCCAGCGCCTCCACCTCAAATCCCACATCCTGACACCTTGTCACACCTAAAACCATCAACACAACACCGAAACCCTCACCCCATGAAACCTCAAACTCTGAAAAATCTCAAGCCTCGAATCTTGAGAGGCCTCTGACATTATGAGCCTGGTAACGCCCCCGGGGATGGAGTTTAGGGTTTAGGGTTTAGAGGTTTAGGGTTTAGGGTTTAACCTTCAGCTTCAAGGTTTGAAGGAGTTCGCGAGGATAGAAGAATGAATAGCTAGACTAGTCTTGTTGGGAGAGGGTTCCCCTGTTGTATAGCACTTCTATTTTTATAACTGCCAGTCGAAAAAAAAACGAACCCAAAGGCATGGTAGTATAAATCACTCAGGCCCCTTTAGCTGCAGCTCGAAACCTAGCCTCTGTGTTCTGCTATCTTTGATTTTTCCAGACTCCACCCTTGACCTGCCATAACCACCTGCTGCATTTTGTAGGGCCCCATAAAACACTTGTAACTTTTAAGGGTAATGGCAGGTTAAGGTACGCGCGGCATCACGCGGATGTCGTTGTCTTCTGATCAAACTCTCGACCCCATGCACGCGAAACTGGCAATCCTGCAAAATCTTCGTCAAAACAAACACAATAAAGTCACAATAACTGCAACGATAACCAAGCAACACAAAAACACAACAGCGCCCAACAGAGCCACCAGCGCTATACCGAGCCCCGAATAACGCAAGCACAACTCTGCACAGTACAAAAACCAACCCAAAAAGGATATACAGATCCTGGCAAACGCCAACATCACCGTGCAGAGTCCCCCAAAACACCAACACAATACAGAGCACCCAGAAAACTTCGCTGCACTTTGCATGAAGCTTAAGAGATGCCCTTTGAACCCCAAAAAACCTCCAGAAGAGCTCCTAAACCCTAAACCCTAAACCCCAAATCCATAAAGAGCTCCAGAAACCCTAAACCCTAAACCCATAAAGAGCTCCAGAAATCCTCGAATCTCCTTCCCAAAGCGGCCTGCGCCGGAGGGGCGCTCGCGGGAGCGTCTAGGTCGCCCAGGAGATCGGCGGCCTTGGAACTTTGGGGTTGGTTGATATCACAGATAGATATGTATGTATGTATGTATGTATGTATGTATGTGTATATATATATATGTATAAAGATACATACATGCACATTTAGTTGCTTGGTATTCTAACTATGTAATCGTCTTCGATGAGTATAAACACACGAATAGATAGATCGATGGAGTATTAAATCGATTGATAGATAGGTAGACGGCTAGATGGACGGAGGTAGGTCGGTTGGTAGGTAGGTAGGTTGGTAGGTAGGCAGGCAGGCAGGCAGGCAGGCAGGTAGGCAGGTAGCCAGACAAACAGATGGATCGATAGATAGGGCGGTATCGTTGAAGCGTTTGCACAGCCTCAGGGGCTTGCAGGGCGGAGCAAGCTTGAAAAGGCAGGCTTAGGGATTCGGGGGTACCGTATGAAGGTGTCTGAGGATTTGTTCGGCTTTCATTCTTTGGGCTGGATTCTACGGCTAAGGTTTACTTTGTTGAGAGTCGAAGGTTTTAGTGTGCAGGACTTTTTTGGTGTTTTGGCATTTAGGGCTTTCAGGGTGTAGGTTTCTGAGGTGCAACGATGTCCCTTTTCCCAAGCGCGTCCGACCAATCGGATTGGGGATTTTGGGCCCAAGCTACAGTTACAATGCTTCAGGGTTTGAGGCGTGATGTAAGCCGTAAGCGCTTCTGCAGCGTGATGCCCGAAAGACACTATATGCATAAACTACACCACATAGGCCCTAAACACCTAAAACCCTACACCGCAAGGACCTTGCGCGGCTCTAGAACTCTGGGACTCATCCCCCGAAGTCCTGAACCGGTCACAGATGTGAAAGAATCCATTTGCAGGCCTGAGACACTCGTCGAAATCCAAACAGATCCTAAACCCTATACAAACCCTA